TGGCGCCCAGAAGTGACCAGCACATCCCTCTAGCAGCAGCTTCTAGGCTGGGGGGTGGGGCTAGGAGATCTCCATGCACTGGTGCCTGCAAGCACTGCCCCCACAGCTCCCATTGGTTACAGTTCCTGGCCACTGGGAGCTGTGGAGTTGGCGTTAAGAATGAGGGCAGTGCACAGAGACCCCAGGTCTCCCCCAGGGGCCACAGGGACAGTGCCAACTGCTTCCAGGAGTGGTGTGGAGCCAACGCAGGTAAGGGAGCCTGCCTTAGGTCCACTGCGCTGCTGCACTGTTAATGCCCAAAATCTCCTGGTGTAGCTGAAGTAGCCTCCAGGAGATAGGGCGTGATTTTGGAAGGCTCCTGATGGAACTGGGGGGGGTTGGCAACCCTTCTTGCCTTACACCAGCAATATGCAATCCACTCCTTAGTCCTGCCATTTTGCACTCATAGAAGTGAAACACTAAATGAAAACCACCCTCGGGCTTTGAAGAGCCACCTTACATAGCAAAATGTGTTCAGCAGTGCTGGGGGCTGAGTTCAAGTCCTCGGTATCTAAATTATTTACTTTTATTCCCTGGCCTGCCCCCTGGCAGAATGATTTTTTTGTTCATTGATGTCACCTTTAACATAGCTTTAATTAGCTGTATTGAGGATGCATAACCTGGTAAAAGAGACCAGTACGCACATTTAGTAACATAGCAACTGCCAGAATGGAGCAGATTGTCTAGTCTAAGTCTCATCTCTAGCATGTAGAATTTCATACATATTTTGAACTATGGCATTTTCTTTTCCATGCTGAGCACCCAAAAACCCTACCTCAATATCAGTTTTACTCTTTCTTACCTAGCATGAAGAAGAGATTTATAATTCTTTATTGAAAATTCATATATGAAAAACACTATATGAGGTATTACAGTTAGTGCAAAGTACTAGCACCAAGTTGACACTAATCTTGAGAAGTGATCTTTCCCAGGGTTTTCAACATAAGGGGCTGCTACCTACAGTTGTCACATGATCTTTAACAACTAAAGAAGGAGGTCAGACTAGAATCTGGATTTGCTGACTCTGGTTTTGTACACAACAAAATAGCTTTCAAAATTAGTTTTGAATTTGCCATTTTCAACAAAAAAAAGTGCTACTGTCTCACCATTATAGCTATGCAAATATAAACGCACGATAGGTTCAAAGAAATGAAACAATTATCAAGTTAGTATAAATTAAGGCAGTAAAGCCTCCACAGGCGTATTTAACATCTTCTATATGTTTTGTGGTGATTGAATTAAGAGGACATTTACAAGTCTGACAAGTGTGGAAGCTTCATAGGAATAGTTGTTACTTTGGAACCTTATAGAAGAATAAGTTCTAACTAAAAACTGGATTAAACAGTTGAAGTTGAAATTCTCTGAAAGGGAGCCAAAAGTTAAATACATCACAATGTCGTGGCAATAACTTTGTCCATAATACTGCAGAGAGTGAGATTCACACTTGCATTCCTCTCCCAGGTACTAGTACCCAGGTGAAAGGGTGCAAGGTATCCTGTTTGGGACAAGAAGACTGGTCTTGGGGGACCATTTAGACTCTAAATTGGCTAAAAGAACAGTCATTGGTATATCAAGGCAGTGGGGACACAGTACATTCTGTTACTGCTTCGTGACAGACGTCGGGAGGAGAGGGGGAAATAGTTCCTGGTTCTAACTGAGTTGCTTCTGCCCTGTTTAAAGTGTTTTACAGCTCGTGTATATCTATCCTCTTATGCATGTGCAAGATCTGTAAGAACCATCCCATGAATCTGCAGTTAGTGTCTGTGGTGCCTGCTTCTGAGTGGTGTCTCAATGCTGCCACATTCAGCTCCAAAGAGGGGGCTTCCCAAAGCAGGCCCTTGCTGCTGACCCCCAAGGCATCCACAGGTCCAGTCTCCTTTCAATGGGCCCACTTCCCAGGGCTCATTGATCTTGGATCTGGCTTCCATCCCCTCTCCAACCCCCATCAGAACTACTGTGCCCTCTTGGCTTAGGAAAAGAATAAACAGGAGGATTGGAAATTAACCCGCTCAGTCTCACGTCCTCTAGGCAGGGAATTAGCCATCTACATTAGGCCCCACCTGGAGTATCATGTCCAGTTCTGGGTGCCACATTTCAGGAAATGTGGAGAAACTGGAGAAAGTCCAGAAAAGATCAACACAAATGATGAAAAGTCTAGAGAACATGAGCGATGAGGCAAGGCTGAAGGAATTGGCCTTGTGTACCTTGGAAAAGAGAAAACCGAAAAGGGACATGTTAGTAGCTTTCAAGTATCTAAAAGAGTATCATAAGGAGGAGGAAGAAAAATTGTTCTCCTTGGCCTCTGAGGTTAGGATGAGAAGCAATGGGCTTAAATTGCAGCAAGGGAGGTTTAGGTTGGACATTAGGAAAAACTTCCTGCCTGTCAGGGTGGTTAAACACTGGAATAAATTGCCTAGTAAGACTGTGGAATCTCCATAGTTGGAGATATTTAAGACCAGGTTAGACAAACACCTGTCAGGGATGAGCTAGGGCAACTCAACTTTAGAAGCCCCCGGCGGCCACATTGATACTTACAGAACATGCTGAGGGCCTCAACTTAAGTGTGGTTGCATATGCAAGCAAATATATACAAATGGCTTCTCTCACACTGATAGGCATGAATACAAAGATTAAGGCAAGACTCCACAATATACAGGCCCCATTTAAGTCAGTTCTGCTGATATTAATAAAATGCAGCATTTACCCAATTTCTACCCATGTGCAGCACTTTTCATGAGCAATGACAGTCCAGGAATTTACCTACTAAAACACATATCAACAGAAGATCATTACGCTGGCTACTTTTTTGTTTCAGCTCCCACTCGCCGGCCACGTGTTGATCCCCACATAAACCCAAACTGCACCGCGGGGCGCAAACAAACTGGCTGTGGGCAGCATGCAGCCCACAGGCCATGTGTTGAGTGGCCCTGGGTGCTTGGTCCTGCTGTGATGGCAGGGGACTGGACTTACCTCTTGAGGTCCCGTGCAGCTCTAGTGTTCCGTGATTCTATATTGCCCACAGGGTTAGATGGGGGCTAGTGCCCCCTAGAAGGGACGGATCCCCAGAGCCCATCCATACCTCCATGAGCCAGCCTGTGCCCTCTGCCCTGGTACTGAACTGGAGCCAGCGCCCCCTAGAGAGGCCCTGTAGCCTCCTGAGCACCAGTGAGATTTTGGTGCTAGGGCCCTCTCTCAAGTGGATCCCTTGAACGGGGGGTCAGGTCAGGCCCTGTTTTCTCCCACACTGTGGGATCCCATGGGCCAGGCCCTGTGGTACCTCGAGGCCTGTGTTGCGGCGGGAGGGGAGTGAATTGGCTAGGTCCAAAGCATTCTCCCCACAGGCCTCCGCAAGCCTGGGGGCGGGGCTGAGTGGACGGGAGAGGTGAGGGCAGGGAGTGGCTGCCGGGTATCAGTCTCTGTCCTTCACTGCCGTTAGTTGGGCTGCACCATGGGCCGGAGGGCAGCTCCCAGGCTTGTCTCCTTTGAGCAGAGGTGGCTTGATGGCAGCACAAGCTAGACAGGGCATGATTGCTGAAGCCCCTGCACTCTGCGGTTGTTCTCTACATTAATCAGAGTGCAGCGAGCCAGGTTATGCTGGTCTGTGCTGCAGTCACATCTTTGCTACCTGTGTAGACAGTCCCTGAACCACTGGAAACTGAGCTTCTAGTCCAGCCTGGTGTGTGACCTCAGGCACGTCACAGCCCCCACTGTGCCTCAGTTTCCCCAGATGTAAAATGGGAACAATGTTGGCCTCCTCAGGAAAGCCCTCTGAGTGTTACCAATGGGCAGAGCAAGGGCTGGCAAGGACAAGTCTTGCCTTGGTCATGCGGACTTGGTACCATTCCAGTGGGCGGATGGTGCCATCAGTTGCTTGATAGCGCTTTGTGTCTGGATGAAATCAAGTGAGGCAGTCCAATGACAGACGGGTGAGTGGCTGAAAGTCAGTGGGTAGGGAACTGGGTGTCAGGCGGCAGGTCACTGGCAAATTCAGCACACAGGGAAGGGGGCTCCCCACGCCTCCGCTCCCAGCACGTGGGGGCAGAGTTCACAAATGACAAAGCTCTTTTCCCCACCAGCTAAGCCATCACTTTATTCCAGGTCTTTAACACATGCTGTACCTTGCCTTGGCTGGGCACTGCTCCGGGGCAGACCCAGCTCTCCTAGCCCAGAATCACAGAAGTGCCCAAAACAAGGAGTTGAGGGGCACAAGCACCCAGACCGTGACCCACCACCCTGCTGTTCTTGCCCCAAGGCC